ACTATGTTTGCATGATCCCAGGAATGCAAAATGTCTTTCAATCCGTTGTCCGTAATTCTCAAAGAAAACAAACTTGTTGGTCCCAATTATATTGACTGGAAAAAGGAACTTGGATATAGTGTTGACTGCTGAAGGGTACAAATTTGCTACTGTTGAGGCTTGTCCGGTTGTGCCTGCTGACAATGCACCAGACCAAGAGAAAGAGGAGTATGCTCGGTGGAAAAAGGCTGACGAGATGGCGAAGTGTTACATCTTGGCATCTTTGTCAAATTTACTTCAACATCAACATCAGTCTATGAACACTGCAGCAGACATGCTCCTCAATCTCAAGGAGTTATTTGGTCATCAGTCGCAGGCTGCCCGACAAGAGGCCATGAGGGTCTGATGAACATGACCATGCGCGAGGGCACTCCCGTAAGGTAACATGTTCTTGCTATGATGGCCTAGGTGAATGAGCTGGAGGTTCTTGGGGCTTTTATTGACGGGGAAACCCAGGTCGATATAGTGCTCCAGTCTTTGCCGAAGAGCTTCGAACAATTACGGTTGAATTACAACATTAATAAGATGTTTATGACTCTTCCAGAACTTGTTGCTGAACTTCAGTCGGCAGAGGGCCTGTTTCCAGAAGAACCAAGCTATGGTGGCCCAGCTGGGAGAAGCATCCACTTCTAAGGCTCCTAAGGGCAAGAAGAGGAAGAAGTCCGCAGGAAAGGGCAAGGCGGTCATGAGTGACGCGCAACCTCGACAAAAGGCGAGAAGCCGAAAGGCAAGTGCTACAATTGTCAGCATAAAGGACACTGGAAGGCAAACTGCCCTCTCCCCTGGAAATCCGACAAAGGTACACCTTTTGCTTTAGTCGTTGAAAAATGTTTAGCGGTGTTATATACCAGTACCTGGTGTGTAGATACAGGGGCCACTGATTATGTCTGCAATTCATTGCAGGGGTTCCAGGAAACCAAGCGACTTAGGGAAGAAAAAGTTACCATCTACTTGGGCGATGCTAGTAGAGCGTCAGCAGTTGCAGTGGGAGACGTCTATTTAGATTTTGGCTTAGATAGGTTTCTAGTTTTGAAAGATTGTCTTTATGGTCCTAGTTTTAGAAAGAATTTAATTTCAGTTTCTAAGTTTTTTATGAACGGTTTTTCCGCTACGTTTGATAATAAAGTTGTTATTCGTTTTGGCAAAAAGTTCATATGTTCTGGTTCATTAGTTGACAATCTATACATTCTAGAATCTAAGTCATCTCCACTGCAACAGAAACAATTATTTAATTCATCATCTAATCTAAATAAGAGGAAGGAACCTTCTAAAATGAACGAAACATATCTTTGGCATCTAAGACTTGGTCATATTAATCTTAGGAAGATTCAAAGGTTGGTAGCAGACGGCCCCTTGGGGTCGTTAGAAGTCGACGCTTTTCCAACTTGTGAGGCTTGCTTGGAAGGTAAAATGACTAAGAGGATTTTTAGTTCAAAGGGGCATAGAGCCGAAGATGTGTTAGGGCTAGTTCATTCCGATCTATGTTGTCCTATGAGTGTTCAAGCGAGAGGTGGTTTCGAGTACTTGGTTACGTTTATCGATGATTACTCGAGATATTGGTACATTTTCCTTCTGCACCGCAAGCCTGAATGCTTTGAGAAGTTCTTAGAGTATAAGGCAGTTGTGGAGAAGCAGTTAGGAAAAAGTATCAAGTCATTACGATCAGATCGTGGTGGCGAATATCTCTCGAATGAATTTAGGAGCTACTTGACGGATAATGGGATTACGTCCCAGCTGACTGCGCCTGGCACGTCTCAGCAGAATGACGTAGCAGAACGGAGGAACATGACTCTTATGGAAATGGTTAGGGCAATGATGAGTT